ATTTAACTACAGTTTATACTGATATCTTTTATGAACAAATATGTTTAAATCTTTAAGTAGCTTGAATTATAATGATGTCCTTGGTGTCAATCTTTTGCTTAAACTCTGCCCACTTTGTTCTTTTTTCAAGATTACAGTTTAGAAGCATTGTTGAGGTTGGGCCTGTTTACTCAGTAACTCATATTAAACTGTTACTGTCCAGAGATTGTTATGTAATGGGAACAATAAGAATGGAAGGGGGGGAAGAATCAAGTAGAAAAGAACAAAGGAGTTTGCTTTCAAGAAATTTTGCAGACTTGATATTTCAAATCTCCTTTGGCAAATATATTTACTAGCTTCCACTAGATACCCAATATTTTTGTTCTCTTCACTTAGATAGCTATTATTTTAAATTTATAGAATTATTCCTGTTTTTAAATGGTTTTCTCTAATTTCCGATGGATACTATCATCCTAGTTGATTTGGGAATTTTTGTTTGTTTTATATCACTCCCAGAACCTGTCATAAATGCTGTCTAAAATGCATATTAGAATTTGCTATTTTTTTAATAGCTCATAAAAGAAGCTTGGCACTGTGTTGCATCTATGATGGTTCCTTGATGCTCTATTTGTTGTGATGCAGTTAGTTAACCCTTCAAAGATCCCTATGGAGGATTAGCTGACCTCAGTCTGAGCTACTCCCCTGGGACCTGATTATTTCCTAGTAAGTCCTCATACAAGGACTTTCACATTTATTGTGAGCATCAAGGAGACTGGGGATTATTGGTAACTATTTAGGATCAATAAAAAATAAAAGTGCATTTCCTTCCATTCTGCCCGTTACATTCACAAGTTGTAATTAAGAAGTATAATTTGGCAAACTTGCCAGGGAAAATCTCTTCTACACAAAGACAGACCAGGATCATTATATCTACCTAGTAAACAACTGAAGCCCTCTTACATTATTTATAGGTTTGCTCGTATTTCTTAGCACAATTAGGTCTCTTGGTAACTAGCTTCCATTCACATTAAGCTTTTTCTTTTTCATTTCTACATAATTCATTGTCACTGTTGCTGCTTTTTTTTTTTTTTTATAAGACGATAGGAAAAATCACTCATCTAATCATTCAATCAGCTGAACACGTTCTGTCTCTAATGCTACCCAGACATTGTTGCTGTGGAATAAACCATGTTAATATTTCTCAATTTAATAAATAAGGTCTCAGGGCCCCTTGAACTGTTTGTTACACATAATCCAACAGCTTCCACTGCACTAGGACATTGATCTTATTTTGTTTCTTGTAATGAACTTCTGCATGCACATTTTAGATCTAGTAATTTATTTCACTCTGATTATTCAAACGAAATGACAACATGGCTTTACATGCTGAAGGGTAATCCATAGACCAAAAGAGCTCCTCCTTTGTGCATCCTGAATAATAAGAGAGTTTCATTCCTCTTCATGAAAGTGAAAACGAGTAGCTGTAGTCACATTCTGAATTCTATTAGATTTTCTTCAAAGCTACATCAGTAGCCTGCCATCTACATACTCATATATGCATAACACAGATATCTCTGTCCTTTTTGCTCAACCCAATGTTATTTGTTCCCTTTCACTCCAGGAATTTTTATTATTTCCTCTCTAAAACACAACTCAAAATTCAACTTACATGAAAACATTTTGGAATTGAATACTTATTCTACTTATTAATCCTTTTTTATTCAAATTTATGGGACATTTCAAAGATACACAAAAATAGAGGAACTAATATAATGAGTACTAGTAGTATACTTATCACTCACCCAGCTTAAACAGTTTTTAACATGTTGTCGTTCTTAGTTATTTGCCACTCCTCACACATTTAAAAAGATTTTGCTAGAGTATTTCAAAGAAATACCAGACTATCTGTCTATCTATATGTATATATTTAAACATAACAATAGAATTATAACATCAAAATTAACAATTCTTTAATACTATCCAGTTTAAGTTTCCCCCATATATGAAAACTATTATCGAACTGTACGTCCAAATTGTGGTTCATAAAGGTCTCCGTATTGCATTGGATTACGTCACTTTTAATTTAACAATTCTAGCTCACAGTTTCAGAGCATTTATTGATATTTGCTGAAGAAAATGACTTATCTTTCTAATATTTTGTCAGTATTGTTGGGCTGAGCTAGCCTACCTTAATTCACATGTAATCCATAAATCACTCACATGCATGTGGCTTTAGGACCTTTCAACCTGCCTGTCCAGGATACTTAAATAAAAATTGCTATGTCTCATTCAGTTTTATAAAACAAAATGAAAGAATCAATATAGAGTTAAATATGGAGTTTTACCTTAAAATAATTATTCTGATTGAGAAATCAGATGGTTTCATTTCCAAACATTTATATTTTCTTCACCCTGTTAGGAGGAAGTTCATTTCAGATTGTATTACTATGTTTGAATTGTGTTTCTTCTCAGTCAAAATGTAACCAAGTTGAGATATATGATAAATTTTTAGTATATTGTACTAATGGTGCTATTTTTTCTTGGTTAGATAATATTAAATAAATAATTCATGCAAAGTATGCTGTCTAAAATCTCAGATTAGTAGAGTGGTGTACTGAGTTTCTGAGAAGAGATAGGGAATTTTACACTTTATTTTAATATTTCAATTTGTCGTAATACTTAAGATTTTATAAACTCTAGGTATATAAAGAAAAGGGATTCAGATTTATGTATATATTACAGATGTCCATAAAATAAGTTCATTTGTTTCTAGAGTTGTGTTGCTAGTGGTTTTATTTTATTGTTTTTGTAATGTCACTTAATATAATGCTTTTTGGAACAATTCTGAAATAAAGCTCATAAGAGAAAAATCTTAATGGAGAACCTAAAGCAAATTTCATACTGTTTCTCAAGATGTTTATATTTTAGTCTCTGTTTTACTTTTTTTTTTAAAGATTTTATTTATACATACAAGAACTGGGGTACAGGCCAGAGTTGTGGGGGGTGAGAGGGTTCATGAGAGACAGAGAGGGGAATAGAACAGGCAGGCAGATCGACTGAAATACACTGCTGAGGGGAGCAATGGGCGAAACAGGAGAGGTCTGCTGTGACATGTGGGTTCCTCCCTGGCCGGGGATCAAACTCGTGCTGCAGTGGCTGCAGATAGCTTCATAGGTTGTGTGTTAACCCCTTGCGCCAGCAGGGAGGCCCTCAGTCTCTGTTTTAAAGAGTCAAAGTAGGTAAGTAGATAAAAGTAGCCTTATATCAAATAACACAATTTTGTGTGGTTTTTTTGGTTGGTTGGTTTTTGTGGTTTTGTTTGGTTTTTGTTGTTGTTATTTTCCTTTAGTAATGCGCAAATGCCAAGTTAGTTTCCTCTGCCAGTTAAGTTATAATGTTTGAATTTAGCAAGGCCCTGAACATTTTCTAAAAGCTATCCAGATTTTGTAACCAGATTTAATCTTAGGCTGTTATGTTGAACACAGAACACCAAACAAATCCTTTTCCAGGTGATGGGTGACAGGGTACACTTGCCTCTTCCTATCATACAATACTCACGTAGGCCACCACTGCCCACTCTGCCAGGTCTTCACAGCTTTAAAATCCAGGGGCCACTTTTTTTTCATACAAATTGGCTTTTAACAGATGTTGTGTACACTAGCTAAGGAGCTAGCAATGGCTAAGATATAGATGAGTGCTCTCTCACATTTGCAAAATCATGTAGCTTTTCGTACAGCAGTTTCAACAAGTTGTGTTCACCTGCACAGAGAAATGTGCCCTTACTGAAATTTTTGGTTATTTTGTTTTATATCCCCCAGTCACAAGTCCTACACTACTGCGTGTTAAGTTTTAGCACACAGATATAACCTAGGGCCCCCAGTGTCCTACCTGTAATAGGTCAACATGTCAGGCTCCTTCACTCTAGTTTAATGATACTGGAAACCTGAGCAGGGCAGAGATAAATAGCAGTTTCAGCATAGACCATAAAAAAGGCCATGCAAATCCATCTGAGCAGAGCTAGGTAAGCTAGCTCCATGAGGACTTTATGACCATGGTCTGAATGTTTTCTCTCTTCATCTATATCCTCAGAAAGTGAATGAATAATTTTTAAAACTAATGGATGGTAAATAAGAGCAAACTTTAAATATCATTTGCTCTTTTTCTTTAACAGCTATTAATTTAAAGTAATTTTACATCTAGGTTCAATATGGTAGTTCTTTAAATTCAGGAGAATAGTATCTTCAGAGAAATATTGTAAATGAATCAAAATTTTTTTGATCATTTTAAGGTCCATATATAATTGTAGAAATGCTGATAGTGTAGGTTAAGATTGCTAAAAGTTTTTGTTTTTGTTTTTACATTCATAATTGACATTTGTACATAAGAGGGAGTTGTAGACAGAGAGGATAGGTGACTTTGACACTGCCTTCACCGTGGACCACTCCAAAGTCATCCCAACAAACTTCCTGTGTAATAGGAAACAAATACATGTTTTCTGTGCAAATCCATGTACTGTAAGTGTCCCCAAGCCTTCCACCCAATTTGCTGCCACTAAATCCATTCTGTGTAGAAATCCTAGAGTGACCAATGATATAAAAACAAGCATTAGAGTGATGTAGTATCCTAGTATATCCATAAATAGCCTTTATTCAACATAAACTATTATCAGAATTTATATATTATTTATTAGTCTCATAAATAATTCACTTCTAAATATACTCCACATGTGAATTAAAATTCTTAATAGCATCTAAAAACTGCTAGATGCTAAGAGTCTGTGTGTTTGGGTGTGGAAGTCTCTTTTGTGTTATTAAAAAAAAACACGAGAGTTATCTGTTATTAAAAAAATCTGCAGGATTAATTTAATGACTACTGTGATTATTAGAAACACTCCTACCAGATTTCTGATGCAAATTAATAATTGAAAGAGGAATCCTCTTTATGCTATTATGTTAATTCCTAAATGAGAGAGTAATCACAACATTTGAGTTTGTTATAACAGCTTTACGCTTTTCCTTTAGCCATTACTTGTCGAAAGCAAGATGGAGGGCAGGCCAGCATCCATGAATGCCTCCAGCATGCAGGCCCTGTGCCAGCCCTCACCCAGGCATGCCAGATTCCCTGCCAAGATGACTGTCAATTTACCAGCTGGTCTAAGTTTTCTTCATGCAATGGAGACTGTGGTGCCATCAGGACCAGAAAGCGCACTATTGTTGGTAAGAAAAATGGGAGGCCAAAGCTAATATTTGTCAAGGTAGAAAAACACAATAAAAGTCAGGCCAAGAGAATTCTGACAATGTACTTGGAAAATGCACAGATATGCCTTTATGTTGCTGTACTTATATCTGATATATCAGTGTCTTTTAATGTAAGCTAGCAGTGACAGATGCATTACAAACTTTTAGTAGAAAGAGAAAGTACCTGTGGGAATTGAACTCTCTCTATATATATGCTACATGATAGATAATTTTTCAGATTAAACATGTGCTTTTGGTTGATTTCTTATAGACTGTGAAGTGCTTGGAGAAAAGTTTTTTGGGGGGAGATAAGAGGAAAGGTTTCCACTTCACTTTCTTACTGTCATTTTCACTGTCAGAATCTCATATTATTCTCATCTCTTAGAAAGAGGATACTTTAAATCTATATCTGAAAACTGCATTTTCACAACTAGACATAATGACAAAACACAATGTTAATGAAGTTATCATACTACACAACCCTGATTCATTTGCATTTATCAGTGGCCAAAGAAACCTAAAATAGTGATGTCAATACTAGTCAGAATTTAGAAGTTGTAAATTGAACCACTTGTCATAATGAAAACTATATAAAGTATTTATGAAAATTAGAGAGAAATATATGTAGTAAGATTTAATTATTTGCAAATAAATTTGCAGAATATATATAATATATGTAATAAATATAATATAAATATATTAGCTAATTAAATTAGATATATTCTTCAAGCGTTTGTGTTACTATTATATTCATCTTTTATTAAAGGGAAATTTATATTTATATTCAAATGATTTCTAATATTCTGATATTAAGTATCTGCATTTCAAATATAATTGATATCCTACATTAATCAAATGTCAAAATATTTACTCTTCAGAAATACTGAAAAATGAAAATTCATAATCAGTAATATAAATCCAGAAATGTCATTTTCTGAATTATAATCCTATATAACTATATTTGGCATTAATAAAAGAGCTTTGCACTCTAATGCATTAACTCTCCCCATTTCATACTTTTGTGTATGATCTAAAGGAGCAATTTATGCAATTTTCTCAAACTTCCCTGTCAATGAAAGCACATGATCATTTTAGAGGATTTTGATCATTTTGAAGCACATAAAATTCAGCACAACAATAAGTGCCTTATGCAAAATGGGCTATTTTTTTAAATGGAAAAAAATAAGAAAAAATGTTCTCTGCAAAGCACCCGGTATTACCAGTATTGCCAACATCCTCTGTGTTTGCACTGTGGGACAAGAAAATAGCATTCATTTCTAGGCTAGTGTTGAATATAGTTAAAAGTAGAAAGGAATTTTAGGAAATAGAAAACTTAGGAATGCTTGAAATTAGTGATGACATTTACCAACTTAAATTGTCTGGTGCTTTCTTCTCCACAGGAAAAAGTAAAAAGAAGGAAAAATGTAAGAATTCTCATTTGTACCCCCTGATTGAGACTCAGTATTGTCCTTGTGACAAATATAACTTACAGCCTGTGGGAAACTGGTCAGACTGCATTTTACCAGAGGGCAAAGTGGATGTGTTACTGGGAATGAAAGCACAAGGAGACATCAAAGAATGTGGTCAAGGATATCGTTATCAGGCAATGGCATGCTACGATCAAAATGGCAGACTCGTGGAAACGTCCAGATGTAACAGCCATGGTAATTCCATTTTTCTTCAGGGTTCTATATATTTTCTATCTTTGGGAGTAAAGGTAAAACACACTTGTATTTAATGGAGGAAAATGAAGTTTTAATGAAGTGTGTCATAAACTGAGTATTGGGGCACCACACTGTACATATATCATTTATATGTAATAAGACATTCTTGGACACATCTTTGTCAATAAGTTGCCGCTAAGTCCAAAGTTGATGACAAGGACGTCTTAAAGGTAGGCAAAAATGGTGCCAGAAACCTCCCTTGGGACTTATCTAGAGTCTGTTGAATAGGCCCAACAAGTCTATGTACAGAAAGCGGGGGCAGGGGTGGGGGGTAGGGAGAGAGGATTTGAATCAATTTGAGAATAAAGTTTCACACTTGACATTTTTCATGACCAAACTGGTGAGATGTATTACATACCCAACATGTCAAGTGGCAGAGAAGAAAGGTTGAAAACTAATTGGTGAAAACTCCAAATACCTCTAGTTTATTCCTCATTGAATTGAAAATGGCAGTAAATGAAAGCAGAAAGCTGTACATGCTTTTAGAAAACTGTACCCATTTTTGTTTTCTAAACCCCAAAGACAAAATGAAAGGTAAAATGCAGTGATAAATAATTGAGATTCCAAAAGTTTGTAAACAATGGCTGTCTTTGACCAGAGTTGTAGTGAACTCTAGTTCTAAGCCAGCCATAAGCAATGTTTGCCAGTTATTATTTTATTTTAATACAGTTGTCATTTTATTAAAAAATGAGATTGATTTATATTGGATAAGCCTGAATCATTGAGGCCACATATTTGCAAACGCTGGACAATGGTCCTCTTTCATTCTACCTGGAGGTGACCAAAGGAAGATGAGTTTAAATTGCTAGGAGTGAGGAGGTGCTTGGTAGTTACCCTCCAACCTTGCAGAAATAACTTCTGCTATTTGAAAGGTACTCCCCCAGTTTTATTATATTTTATTGCACTAATAGAACCACTCACTTTTACATAGTATAAAGATTATAACAAACATTTATTAGGATCTCTTAAACCTTCCCCTACAAAGATGTTTCTGAAAATATTGTCCTTTTTTTTTTTTTTTACCTTATCCCATAATTCCAATTTTATCTCAGTCTTGTGATATGGGCCACAAAAACTCCATAATATTGGGCTTTCCCGGTGGCACAGTGGTTGAGCGCTGGGTTGTGAAGCTGCCCGCAGCCTCTGCAGCGCCGGTTTGATCCCTGGCTTCTCCTTGGCCACTGGAGGGTCCCTCATGGCGCGTAGACCTCTCCTGCCGCCCGCTGCTCCCCTCAGCAGTGTACTTCGGTCCTTCTGCCTGCTCTGCTCCCCACTCTGGCTCTGGTGAATTCTCTCACCCTCCCGTGCTTCTGACTGTACCCAGTGCTTGTATAAATAAATCTTTAAAAAAAAAAAAAAAAAAACCTCTATTTTCAGGTTAATATATATTCACTGCTAAGTTTAAGATTAATTCATGCATTTAAAACACTAACAAAATTATAATGAGTTTAGTGTTTATAATAGGTATCCATTGAGAAACATTCTAACAGAAACTGAGTATTTTATTCTCTACATAAGTAACACCAGTGCAAAGTAAGTAGTCCTACATTACTGAGCTATGGTGATAATGTAGACCAAAATTAGTCATTAATGTAAAATTGAAGATCACTTTAAAAATGTGTTTCTCCTGGAATGGAGCATGTAAGTGTTTGCTCACATTTTAAATTGTTATGCACAGTGAATCACCAAGATGATCATTTGTTTTTAACATCACCTATGAGCTTTCAGAATGACTCTCATATATTATCACTTTTACCCTGATCTGCTAATTAGATTCATGAGGGCTTCCATAAGCCACTTAACAGTCCATGTTACTTTTTTTTTTTAGAAAAAATAACCTTTTAAAATCCTCTGCCTCTCACAAAAACATTTTATCCATTAGAAAAGGCAAAAGCACAAAAATAATTTATATTGGCCAAAGGCAGTGGACTTCTTACCTTAGCATTGGCCACTCAAAGCTTAAAGAACCCAGTATTGTGTGTATTCTGGAGGGAAAATACACACAGAAAAAGGAAGGGTCAGAACTTCCTGGCGGTTGTATTTGGATCTGGGATCCTTAACTTAGTGAATTGTTCCAGTTTAGTTCTTTGTGTTTGTCCAGCATCATTCCTATCTTTTAAATCTGATCTATGATGTATGTCCGTTGAGATATTTTAGTATTTACTAACATATTTACCCAAAGTCAAGTTGGAAGAAATTGAATCTTTATTGCCTGACTTCTTTAACAGTTACTGGTTTCCTCAGATATGTTCGGTTTGTTCTGATGGACTTAGTAGTATGCTGTAACTTGGCCACTCTAACCAGGGCACTCCCTAAATTGCAGTCCCTATGACCTTTGCTTCCTTTCAGCCAAATCACCTTGCACAGTGAACGGTGGAAATGATTTAAAGGAGCATTCAAGAAAAACCTTTTTCCCTGCTTTTAGTTTAAACATAAAATTGATCCCATGTCATGCAGTCAGAGACATTAATCCCCTCTTCTATACTGGCCTTAGGATATTTCTGTCTCATCAGCGTTGTCCATCTGTGGATCACATTATCAGTTGTTATACTGATAAAAGCAGTTTATTTATGCACCAGATTAATTATATTCACCAGTTTAGCTATATTAGTTTAGGCCATTTTCTGTTCTATCTGAAATTCCTCATAATAGCAGATTTTGTACTGAAAAGTGATATGTTCATACTCTAAAATTCAGATTGTAAAGTATACCTTGGAAGAAATATAAATGTTCATCCATCCTGATCCACAGTATTAAATATAATTCCTCTATAAATGTTGTTATACAAATAACATTTTTTGGCATTTATCTGTCCAAAAACATAATACAAATTATGGTTATTTACTTTCACTATGAAATCTTGGATGGTATCACTATAGCACAGATTTTAAATCACTAAAAATCAAATCACATATTCTTTTTTTAAAATTTTTTATTAATGAATCATTTGACATCCTAGTTTGTTTTCTCATAGTATAGGATTTCTCCCCTCAGTTGTGGTCACCATAATTTTTCCATTCATCAAAGCACCTATAGTCCATTGTGCTCTCCTCCTCTCCACCCACAATTTTCTTCCCTGCACCATTCCCTACCTATCCCCTCCTGGATGCCTCAGATCTATGATCAGCTTTCAAGAGTTGGTTTTAAAGTTTGTTTTTCTCTGATCCATTGTTTGGTTTTCTAGATTCCACTTACAAGTTAAGCCATCCGGTATTTATCTATTTATCTTTCTCATTCTGGCTTATTGCACTTAGGATAATCCGGTTCCATGTTGTTCCATGTTGTTGCAAATGGCATGAGTCCATCTTTTTTGATCACTGAGTTGTATTCCATTGTGTGTGTGTGTGTGTGTGTGTATGTGCATATAAATGGATGGATGGGTGAATGGATAGATATAGATGTATAGGTATATATATGTATGCTACATTTTCTTGATCCAGTCATCTGTTCTGGGGCATTTAGGTTGTTTCCATATTTGACTGTTGTAAATAGTGGTGCTATAAACTTCAGAATACAGGTTTCCTTTGAATTAGTGTTTCTGTATTCTTTGGGTAGATTCCTAGGAGTGTAATTACTGGGTGATCTCATAGATCCATTTTTAGTCTTTTGTGGACTCTCCACATTTCTTTCCATAGAGGCTGGACCAGTCTACCTTCCCACCAAGCATGTAACAGGGTTCCTTTTTCTCATTGTTTTGATTTACATTTCCTGATCATAAGTGATGATGAACGTTTTTTTCATATGCCTGTTGACCATATGTATGTCTCCTTTGAAGAAGTACCTATTTAGGTCTTTGGCCCATATTTTGATTGGGTTGTTTTATTTTTGTTGAGTTGTAAGAGCACTTTGTAGCTCTTTAAAAATGTTAATCACTTTAAAATTTTCACAGAACAAAAGGTAGAATTTCTGGAATTTTTTATATCCTTCAGCCTTGATATTTTAAGGAATAATTAAAGGTAAACTAGCGTATGCAAGGTACATGTATACAAAATTTCCCACTTAAATACATGATAGAATGTTATGCTCTCGATCCTACCAAGCTCTCCTGTAACCCCTTAGCCTGCTCTAGTTTTTAATTTCTAAATGTATCATCCTATAACATGCCATATAATTACTTATTTGTTGTTTTTATTTACGTTTTGTATCATAAGAATGTAGATTCATGAGTTTCTTGAATTAATTTATTCACTGATGGATCACACGCACCTAGAACAATAGGTTCAATAAATATTTATATAATGAATGAATGGTTAAGAAATGGAGAGAGTGGGCCTCCTGGTGGCACAGGCAGTTGAGCGCAGTGCTGTGAAGCTGTCCCCAGCCTCTGCAGTGCCAGTTCGATCCCCGCTGGCCGCAGAGCAACCCACATGGAGAGCAGACCTCTCCTGTCTCGCCCACTGCTCCCCTCAGCTGTGTAGTTCATCAGTTTGCCTGTTCTTTTCCCTGGTCTGTCTCTGGTGAATCCTCTTACCCTCATGCACCTCTGGCCTATACCCCAGCTCTTGTACAAATAAAATAAATCTTAAAAAAAAGAAAAAGAAAAAGAAATGGAGAGAAACCCCACTGGGGTTTGATTGGATTTAATTGATCTACCATCATGTTAAGATTTTTCTATTGTTCTTCCTCTTCTGTCACAGTTCTGAGAAATTAGATTTGAGAAGAACTTAGAGCTACACTTGCTACAAACTTTCTGTATGATATTCATCAAATATTTGTACGTCTCTCTACCTCTTAGGTGGGAGAAGCAATAATCTCATACCTATTCCACTGAATTACATCAGCAATATCAACATTGACAAGTCTTTTTATCTCCATTTAAAGCTTGTTGTTTAGAATTTTCCCATTTCTATAACACTGTTTTGGACCATAGTTTAACTTCTTGGTTTATGAGAGTATAATAATATTGAGAAAACTTGCATTTTCCCAAACTGTGCTTACAG